TTAGATCTTGCGTGAACTGAAAATTGGTTTCGCAATGATATCTCATTATTAATTCTCTTTACTGTCTTTTCTCATCACAAGTTTCAAACACCCCGCTGCTTCTTTTTATTCTGTATTACGCTGATTATTTATCATATTTAATCTGCAGTTTCACACACCCCGCTGCTTATTTTTATTCTGTATTACACTGATTATTTATCATATTTAATCTGCATTACGTATACATACTGCTACTCTAACATCGTTGTGACACTACAATAGAGTTGAAATATTGAATTTTACCATTAGATCTTGCGTGAACTGAATTGGTTTCGCAATGATATCTCATTATTAATTCTCTTTACTGTCTTTTCTCATCACAAGTTTCAAACACCCCGCTGCTTCTTTTTATTCTGTATTACGCTGATTATTTATCATATTTAATCTGCAGTTTCACACACCCCGCTGCTTATTTTTATTCTGTATTACACTGATTATTTATCATATTTAATCTGCATTACGTATACATACTGCTACTCTAACATCGTTGTGACACTACAATAGAGTTGAAATATTGAATTTTACCATTAGATCTTGCGTGAACTGAAAATTGGTTTCGCAATGATATCTCATTATTAATTCTCTTTACTGTCTTTTCTCATCACAAGTTTCAAACACCCCGCTGCTTCTTTTTATTCTGTATTACGCTGATTATTTATCATATTTAATCTGCAGTTTCACACACCCCGCTGCTTATTTTTATTCTGTATTACACTGATTATTTATCATATTTAATCTGCATTACGTATACATACTGCTACTCTAACATCGTTGTGACACTACAATAGAGTTGAAATATTGAATTTTACCATTAGATCTTGCGTGAACTGAAAATTGGTTTCGCAATGACTTCCATTCTCAGCCACGACTTTTTCGTTCTTCTTTATACCCCACTGCGGCGTATGTTACCAAAAGTGTTTCCCAACATTGCAAACATTCCTTTTCCGATTACTCTTCATTGTTACCGGGCGTGAACACAAGCAATTACTTCGCTTATTCATGCTTAAAAGTAAATAGACAAGAAATTGAGTAAGGTTGTGAGAAGACTACCATCAGATTGAGCATTTAATCATTATAATACTGTGGGCTAATTAATACATGTGATTAACGAACATTTTGTAAGAGATCGATATTTCAGAACAGTTTTGACGTGTACAGCCTTAGCTCAAATCAGCTTGAGTTTCTTTGAGAAAAAATTCCAATCCCAGCGGGGTCTGGCAGATTATTTCTCAAATGTTTTCTTTCTCAGTGGCGTAAATTTACTTTCAAGGCTGGTAATGCACTGACCACTCGGTCAGCACGTGCTTTCTCACATGACTCCGTAGTGGGTAAGATGGCGAGGCAGAAACATGCCCGTAACGAGTAAAACTCCGAAAATTCGGGTAAGATTTCGGGCTGTTTTTGTGAGCATTGAAGAAAGTCTTTCGGAAAAGAAAATGGAAAACTTTTTTCTGGCAGAGCAGAATGGTATATAACACTGGATCCTGCAGACAAAGATTAGATTATATCACAAGTCCAAGCTCATAGGGAAGCCCATAGAAACTCAGTTCAACATGATTTAGATCATTGGATCACAGATTTTCAAAGTAAGATTAAGAAAGGTCCATATTATATTTGCTCTGTTTGTAACAGAATACTACACAGAAAACTGTTATCCAGTTTAGAAAACAAATGTACAACACTCAGCAAGAACTATTTACTGAGTTGTATACCCATGACTCCTTTCCGTCTTGGAATGACCTATCACCTATCGCCTGATGACAACCTTCTTTGAAAAAGATGTATGCCCTTGGCCAGACTTGAGCTCACTAGTCTACTGGTCCAACACCTGTAGTATCACTACACTTGATCCCAGGGATCCAGTCCCATCCAGGTATCCTAGTTACCCTGCTCACAGGGTCTAATTTCACCCTGCAAAGGAAAAAATATTCAAGTCATGCTAACAGTTTCAAAAGTGTTTTACAATGGTAAACAAAATTTCATAGTTTGAATCTTAACAAAAGGACAATTCCTGCTTTTGTTTGGCCCTTTAATCTCCCAATTTTTAAATTCACCCTTTCACTTGCTATGCACTTCATTGAATATCACTTACGAGAATTTTGTGCTTTGTGTGGGTAACACCAACCCTCTGATAAGTTTGTCTACCTATCACTTGTCTCCAGAATAAAGAATTACAATTTTAACCCTCTCACTATCGAGATCTCATCAGTAATTCTCTCTACTGTCTTTTCCCATCACAAGTTTGACACACCCCGCTGCTTCTTTTTATTCTGTATTAGGCTGATTATTTATCATATTTAATCTGCATTACGTATACATACTGCTACTTTAACATCGTTGTGACACTACAATAGAGTTGAAATATTGAATTTTACCATTAGATCTTGCGTGAACTGAAAATTGGTTTCGCAATGACTTCCATTCTCAGCCACGACTTTTTCGTTCTTCTTTATACCCCACTGCGGCGTATGTTACCAAAAGTGTTTCCCAACATTGCAAACATTCCTTTCCGATTACTCTTCATTGTTACTGAACGTGAACACAAGCGATCACTTCGCTTATTCATGCTTAAAAGTAAATAGACAAGAACTTGATTTAATACGATTGTGAGAAGACTATCATCAGATTGAGCATTTAATCATTATAATACTGTGGGCTAATTAATACATGTGATTAACGAACATTTTGTAAGAAATCAATGTTTCAGAACAGTTTTGACGTGTACAGCCTTAGCTCAAATCAGCTTGAGTTTCTTTTAGAAAAATTCCAATCCCAGCGGGGTCTGGCAGATTATTTCTCAAATGGTTTCTTTCCCAGTGCCGTAAATTTACTCCCAAGGCTGGTAATGCACTGACCACTCGGTCAGCACGTGCTTTCTCACATGACTCCGTAGTGGGTATGATGGCGAGGCAGAAGCATGCCCGTAACGAGTAAAACTCCGAAAAGACTCGGGTAAGATTTCGGGTTGTTTTTGTGAGCATTGAAGAAAGTCTTTCGGAAAAGAAAATGGGAAACTTTTTTCTGGCAGAGCAGAATGGTATATAACACTGGATCCTGAAGACGAAGATAAGATTATATCACAAGTCCAAGCCCATAGGGAAGCCCATAGAAACTCAGTTCAACATGATTTAGATCATTGGATCACAGCTTTTTAAAGTAAGGTTAAGAAAGGTCCATATTATATTTGCTCTGTTTGTAACAGAATACTACACAGAAAACTGTTATCCAGTTAAGAAAACAAATGTACAACACTCAGCAAGAACTATTTACTGAGTTGTATACCCATGACTCCTTTCCGTCTTGGAATGACCTATCACCTATCGCCTGATGACAACCTTCTTTGAAAAAGATGTATGCCCTTGGCCAGACTTGAGCTCACTAGTCTACTGGTCCAACACCTGTAGTATCACTACACTTGATCCCAGGGATCCAGTCCCATCCAGGTATCCTAGTTACCCTGCTCACAGGGTCTAATTTCACCCTGCAAAGGAAAAAATATTCAAGTCATGCTAACAGTTTCAAAAGTGTTTTACAATGGTTAAACAAAATTTCATAGTTTGAATCTTAACAAAAGGACATTTCCTGCTTTTGTTTGGCCCTTTAATCTCCCAATTTTTAAATTCACCCTTTCACTTGCTATGCACTTCATTGAATATCACTTACGAGAATTTTGTGCTTTGTGTGGGTAACACCAACCCTCTGATAAGTTTGTCTACCTATCACTTGTCTCCAGAATAAAGAATTACAATTTTAACCCTCTCACTATCGAGATCTCATCAGTAATTCTCTCTACTGTCTTTTCCCATCACAAGTTTGACACACCCCGCTGCTTCTTTTTATTCTGTGTAAGGCTGATTATCTATCATATTTAATCTGCAGTTTCACACACCCCGCTGCTTATTTTTATTCTGTATTACACTGATTATTTATCATATTTAATCTGCATTACGTATACATACTGCTACTCTAACATCGTTGTGACACTACAATAGAGTTGAAATATTGAATTTTACCATTAGATCTTGCGTGAACTGAAAATTGGTTTCGCAATGACTTCCATTCTCAGCCACGACTTTTTCGTTCTTCTTTATACCCCACTGCGGCGTATGTTACCAAAAGTGTTTCCCAACATTGCAAACATTCCTTTTCCGATTACTCTTCATTGTTACTGGGCGTGAACACAAGCAATTACTTCGCTTATTCATGCTTAAAAGTAAATAGACAAGAAATTGAGTAAGGTTGTGAGAAGACTACCATCAGATTGAGCATTTAATCATTATAATACTGTGGGCTAATTAATACATGTGATTAACGAACATTTTGTAAGAGATCAATATTTCAGAACAGTTTTGACGTGTACAGCTCTAGCTCAAATCAGCTTGAGTTTCTTTGAGAAAAAATTCCAATCCCAGCGGGGTCTGGCAGATAATTTCTCAAATGTTTTCTTTCCCAGTGGCGTAAATTTACTTTCAAGGCTGGTAATGCACTGACCACTCGGTCAGCACGTGCTTTCTCACATGACTCCGTAGTGGGTATGATGGCGAGGCAGAAGCATGCCCGTAACGAGTAAAACCCCGAAAATTAGGGTATGATTTCGGGCTGTTTTTGTGAGCATTGAAGAAAGTCTTTCGGAACCCGGAAAGGTCTTGGGGTCGAGAGCTTTCGGGTCTTATGTTTCCTTTTAATATTATTTTCCGATCCGACTTTAGTATCGAACTCCATCAGTACACACTCTTCCATGACCTCGCAGCACTTGCTGCTCGAGTGGTCAGTGCATTATTCGCCTTGAAAGAAAATACACGCCCCTGGGTAAAATGAAAAACATATAAGCAGTAATCTACTAGACCCCGCTGGGATTGTAAATTTTTCCCAACGAAACTCACGCTGATTTGAGCTTAAGATGTTCAGGTCAAACGTGTTCTGAAACATTGCTCTGATAACCTCGCAGTTGAAAGACTTCGTGGGAAACGCTCGCTCAAAAATGTCTTCTGCGGCTGATGTTATCTTTTATGGTGGTAGTATTATCACTATGAATGAAAAAAACCCTTTTGCTGAAGCTCTAGCCGTCACAGGAAACCTCATTACAGCGGTAGGAAAACTAGATGAAGTGTTTGCCCTAGCGGGTGAGACGACGAAACTTATCTATCTGAATCAAAAAGCCCTTCTCCCGGGCTTCATTGAGCCTCACACGCATGCTGTGTTATCGGTCCGGTTTAACGCGGCGTTCACTAACATTGGTGGCTATGATTACCACACATATGACGAGGTAAACCAAAAAATGAAGGCGACTATTTGTGAACTCGGCAAGGAAACCTCTCCTCTCCCATGGGCGTTGTTCTTTGGTTGGGACCCAGAGCTTATCCCTAGCTTGCCATTGCTTTCTGCGGACTTTCTGGATAAAGAATTTTCGTCTGAAGTCCCCGTCGTTGTGGTTGGCCAGAGCGGTCATGTTGCTTGGGTAAATCGGAAAGCTTTTGAGGTAGGTTATCATCTACGCTTTTGAGCTAGTGTGCTTATTTTGAAGATTTGTCAGTATTGTTAACGTTTCGATTAAGATTCCATGCGATTGTCTCGGCTACCCGTCTGAGAAACTCAAAAATGATTGGCCGATTTAGATTATCTGAAATTAACCCGAGGGAAAGGTATTTCGTAGTCAATCGTCTCTGTTAACTGAAAAAAAAAAAAAAAAAAGCAAAAATAAACTGCGTGGTTTCAAACCAATATTCCGTTACAGATCATTTGGCCCGAAAATATTATACTTCATCGCTATACCGGGCGGGGCAAAACCAAACTCTATTTCATCCCCATTAAACCGCATGCAAATATATAGTGCGCACTATTTTCTTCGATTCAACGAAATTAGAACGAACGAAGACAAAAAGCTTTCTCTTGGGCGTAATAATGAGAGCAGTTTTTTCAGTCGTGACTTATCTACATTTGGCCTCCTGTGTGTGGAAGATGTGATAAAATGCAGGTTGTTTACAAGGAGTTAACACGCGAGTCCAAAAGAATGAGGAGGGGGGGAGGGGGGGCAAGAATGGGCGAAAAAGAATTGACGTCGATGCGCCGCGAGAGCTCTGTGAGTGATGCACTTGAAAAGTTCCTACGAAGATAGCTGAAGACGAATTCGATTGGTAGAAAACGTCAATATCTAAGTGCTTACTGTTTTTAGACCTTCTACCTTCTCCCTTAAAAGGAATTGGTTAATCGAAGAGGATGTATCCTTTACTTTCTCATTAAAGAACATCAGGGACCATAGCAGAAATAGTACTTAGTGCCTTTAATTACTGAAGTACTCATTCAGTGTTTTCTTGTCGGTGATAAAAGGTGGCTAAGGTAGATGACTCAATCGAAAATGTGGGTGGCGGAGTGTTTGTCAAAGATGATGAAGGACATCTGACTGGTCAGCTGTTTGAGACGCCTGCAATACTACGTGTCATAGGCCATGCACCACAACCAACAGTTTCAGATTTTGAGACAAAAATAAAGGAGCAATGGAAAGATTTTGCTTCCCGGGGCTTCACAACAGTCACTGAAATGGGTTACCTCAGCGACCCAGACTTTGAGACCCTCCTCAAGAAGGAGTCTAAACAAAGAGACTGTCCCATCCGCCTAGCCTTGTACCGAGTGGTCAACGGTCCTGAAGAATCTGTCAGGGAAGAGAAATCTTCAACTCGCTTTCATTATCAATGCTGTCCTAGCTTGCTGCGAAGACCAAGCCTAAACCAAGGTGAACCAACCATTGAGGGGTCTGACAAGCTGTGGGTAGCTGGTGTGAAGCTTGTTGCAGATGGCTCCCCTCACTGCGGTACTGCTGCAGTACAGGAGCCATATTTGAATTCCAATCTCACTGAGATACTTGGATTCCCCGAAGCTCCACAATACGGCACCCTTAATCATACCACAGATGAGCTTTTGGAAATTGTCGAGTCCTACCATAAGAAGGGTACCCAGATTGCAATTCATGCTCATGGGGAACGAGCCATTGATCAAGTGCTTACGGTGTATGAACAGGTAGAGCAATTTTATCAGTTCTGAAAATGGTCCTTGAAGTGGCTGGGAGGTTGTTAGAAAATTGAGAAGGGTGCTAGACTCTATCCAAAACCCCATACACCATTGGGCAGTGTGGTTCTTGAGGGCATACAGCAATACATTTCTTGTCATCAACACAAAACTCCTCTTGCACCCAGCATTCTTATGTGTGTATATTCAGTGCAACCTAAAGAACAATGAACAGCCATAATGTAGCTGTAAAGACTGAGACAACAAGGTTCCTCAAAGTCAATTTCTGCACCAAATGTTCACCCAACAGTCACCTCTGTTTTTTATTTAACCTTTTAACTCCCAAGATTTCATTAGTAATTATCTTTACTGTCTGCCATACATTTCATGTGATGTTAGTTTGGAGAATTTGGAATTGGATCAACTTATAATCCCCCAATTGATACTTTATTTATTCTCATTACTTGTCCGCTTGATATCATACTGATGTGAAAGGAGAAATTCTCTCTTGGTTGCTAGTGGGACTTTAAGGATTAACTTCCCTCTCACTCACTTTTTCACGTGCTGTTTCCAACAGGTTATAAGCAAAGATCCCAAGGACACACGTCACCGCATTGAACATCTTGGATTGGCCACTGTAGATTCCATTGCACGGGCTGGAGAACTCAAGCTTGCCTTGTCCTTCTTTGTGTGTCATCTTTATTTCTATGCAAAAGCATATGCAGAATATATCTTTGGGAGAGAACGAACCGACCGTTGGACACCCTTATCAGAAGCAAGCAAACATGGTCTTCTTTGGTCCATTCACCAGGACCATCCAACTTTTCCAGGGCCTGGGCCTCTTCCTATGGCAAACCTGAAGACGGCAGTTACTCGGACCCACAGGGATGATCAGGAGACTGTATATGGCCCAGAATACCGTGTTTCCATCCATGAGGCCTTGAAGGCTTACACCATAAATGCAGCCTGGCAAATCCACAAAGATAATGAATTGGGTAGCTTAGAGAAGAACAAGAAAGCAGATCTGCTCATATTGTCTAAGAACCCCTACCAAGTGGATCCAATGGAATTAGAGAGCATAGAGGTGGTTGAGACCATTATGGATGGCCATTCAACAAATCTGTTAAAGTTGAGCAAGGTCAGTGGTGGAAAGTTCTTGGTGTTTGATGACTGAAGTCCAGCCTAAGAGAGTCCTCTTAGATGACAAGGGAGGATGATACATGTATGAACACTTAAAGAATGAAGATGTAACGTTTAAAAGTAGAGGATATTTGGCAATTTAGGTTTTAGGGTAAGAATGGAATAAAAAAAAAAACATTTGTGTAGCATGCAGATTACATAATAAATAGGATTGTTTTCCTCCACTGCAACCATAGCAATTCAGTATAATCAAGAATCAACCTTCACAGAAAGGCTTTCACTATTTGAACATAGGCTTTGAAAAACAGAGCAGTAGGGAATATCTATGGTATGCTCGATCCGTGTGGTCACATGATGCCAAACAGCCCATAATCACATGGACACTTTCAGAAAAACCACACCAGAGCTAGAATATTTGATGTATTTTGAGTAGTCAGTCCTACACTTGAAAATGAAAAGGCACTACACTTGTATTTAGTTGAACTTATTAGCTTGGACAGTTTTTTTAGAATTTTTTAAATTTTAACCTTAAAATAATCAATTCAGCAGATATATATTCTAAAGCACAAGTTTGCATTAAATTTAGAGAGAATGTAGGCTTAAGTTTCTTGATTTGACATTGTTCATTTTAAGTGCGATAGCAAGATGTGTTAATTTTTGTCTACAAAATAAAATAACATTGAACTACAAACACTGATCAGCAACTGAAGCACAATTGATACCTACAGTACTATGAGTTTACATGTCAGGATAAAGAGAGTTCAAACCATTGAATAGCAAGTCACTCACAAAATTTACATTAGATTGGGCATGCTGTAATTTCAATTTGTAATATATTAGTTTTCCATTGATTTTGACTTCTTTGCATGCGATTTCCACTTCTTATATCTCCGTTTCTCGGTGCCATCCAATCAAAAATAAAGAATTAATTGTACCACTGGTGCTCAAACAATGAAGTTGCAATTGCACACCCTCCTTAAACAATGTCTGAAAATCATTGCATTCTGATTATTTCAAGTATGTTTATTTTCTATACAATACCAATTAAGACATTAACAGACATGTACTCTATCTCTTTCCTCATGATAAAAATATAAATTTCTCTATCAATATATCAAATACAAACAGAAACCAATGTACATGAACATTACCTTCACATCCCAATTTTTTATATAAAGTTCTGGGCAGATACTAAAATTCTGTACAAAAATTACATCCCAATTTCAGAAGGATTAAAAATGGAGAGGATGCTTCTTATACATCAATTTCATCTAAAATTTTGACTTCAATACAGATAGCTGGTCAACACAAGGCTGCATTTGGTTATTTTGCTCACTGGCTTTTTTCATCCTGCAAGAGAAAAAATATTCAAGTATTGCTAACTGTTTCAAAAGTATTTAATGATGGTGAACAAAATTCCATAGTTAAAATCTTAACAAGAGTACAATCCCTGCCCTTGTTTGGCCCTTTAATCTCCCAATATCTGATTTCTAATTCTCCCTTCCATCTGCTGTACCCTTCATTGAATATCACTTACCAGAATTTAGTGTTTTGTGTGGGTAACACCAGCTTTCTGATAAGTTTGTTTATCCATCAAATGTCCCCAGAATAAAGAATTATAATTTTAACACTCTTACTATCAAGATCTCATTAGTAATTCTCTTTACTGTCTGCCACACAAATCTTGAAGTTAGAATTTGGTATGGGATCAACTAATAATCCAGTAATTGATATATTTTTATTCTTATCACTTTTCTGCTTGAAATTGTATTGATGTTGTAAGGAGAAATTCTCTCTTGGTCACTTATGTGAGTTAAAGGGTTAAGGAGAAGATATATTTTAATTGGCTCTAAGAGTTGTCTTTTTTACTCCAAATTCTCAAAATCAAATCTCCTCACTTTCCTCTATACATTTAATATAATTTCAGCCATTAAAAGTTGATGCTGAATCAGAAAGTTCCCCTCATCAGGGTTTTTCTTTATGCTCCTTCTCTTTCTAAGTCTTGTTGAATTGACATTGTAATGAGAAATAACTTGTTGGTCACTCCTAGGAAGAAAAGGGATGAAGTGCCGGGTTGAAAATGCTTAGTCTATTTCATCTAAAGGGCTGGAAAAATTGTCCTTTAGTTATAAGGAAGAAAAACATTTTACATTAATTAATTAAAAAGCCTGCTTCATAGCTTATAAATTGTTTCCAGTGATTAAAAGCAGACCTGGGTATCATCATGTATGCTCAAGATAAATGTTTAAATCTTTTTCAAGAAACACTTTAAATCTGGTTGTTCAAAATGTGAGTGGTGTTATGTTACTGGTAAATTTGCTTACACTTGGGATGAGCACAGCATTTGTTTTATTTACTTTTAACTGGCAGGACTGTGCTCTCTATCCTCCAAATGAAAAATGACTGTAATATGTTCTAAGAATATTGAATGAAACTCAAAATTTACTAAGATAAAACAAAGGAACTAAAGTTTCATAAAGATATGACGTATAGCATGCCTTTGAAGGCTTACCTTTCATGCAGATCTTTACATTTATCTTCTGAGAGGCTGCTCTTAAGTTTCATTATGGCTTTTTTACACTGGACTGCCAGGGCCTTATAGCATTGTTCTTTGCTTTTGTTGTGTACAGGATTGTCCCAGTCAGGCATCCCCTCAACATATTCCCAAGCCAGTAGAACATAGTTCACAGTTGATTCCCAAAGTTGTGAGTTAAGTAAAGTCTGGCCTTGGGCGACACATTCCTTCTGTGAAATAGTATTACCAGAACCGTTTAATCTAAGATATTTGTTCAATTTTACACTTTTTGTTGAAAAAGCAAAGTTTTTTTTTCCAACATGGGACAAATAAGAATATGTGAATTCTCCCAAAGCGTTTGAAGACTTGCAAATTTTGATGTCAGACCTCCAAACAACAGAGTTACTTTTAATGAAGAGAATTTTTTTGGAAACTAGCTAGTTCACGGACTATGAGTAAGTTGGTTAGTGATCAGCAGTTCTGATAGTGTGGTGAGGGAAAAACAAAGAAAAATGGTAACTTATGGGCTTGATGAAAGCAAGATTTGATAGTTATGTTCTGTCCTAGTTGAATCCCTAAAAGACTGCACTAGAAAATATCAAAATCTTCGAGAAAGATTCTGTTATTTATGTGCTGCCTGCCCACAATTTCCCACTGACACAAGATTTGTCACACAAGTAAGAATTGAAAGAATGAAGTTGTAGAGTAGTCAATAGCATTGGTTCATGCACTTCAAATACTCACCTTGAAAGTTGTTAGATGAGTGTTTACCCGGCGATAACAAAAAGCATCTCGCGAGGAACCGTAACGAGTGTAAGGGAAGGACTTGTAAATGTTTCTTTGCAAGCGCTTCAATCTTTCTTCTAATTCTGTAAGATCTGGTTCAGGGATGAGGCTTCGTAATTCCTTACAAGAAAAAATGTTTATTAGCTGGAGCACAAAGAATTTTAACAGCATTTAAAAATCAAATCAACATAACAATAAAAGATGCGTCCTAATTGTTTAAAAATGGCGTCTTTCTTTCGTTCTGCGATCTGACTCAAGTTCAAAAAGATGATTTTCAGATTATAGTTTACCTGTTCAAGATCTGGATGTCTTTCTGCCACTAAAGTTTCCAATATATCCACCAGTTGAGCCTTGGTCAGGCCGTTAAGAGTCACAGATAAAGCAGGTGATTGACTCTCGTTACGCGGGCCTCCAAGACGAAGCCTCTTTCGGTTTGGTTTGCTCACTTTTGGAGGGCCATCCTGTGGCGTTTCAGGAGTCATAAACACTGAATTTACTCCACAATCTGCTTCACTACCGATGATTTGGTCCTCATTGCCAGTACTTCCGAGTGTTTCGGGCTTCTGTAGGAATTTCTGCATGCTAGCTTGCACATGTTCTGCTTTTCTCTTTCTCGAGCTCGGAGAGGTCAAAGAAACGAAGATGTCCCTCTCCGGAGAGCTCTCGTGGCCGCTTGCCGCCGTGTTTGAGCTTAGATTGGTGATATCCTTCATCACAGACATTATCACGGGCAAATAAAAGAGTTTTAAAGCAAAGAAGTTGACTAAGGTTCTTCTTTCTACGAGGCAAGCAGTGAATGAAATTACGTTACCGCGCGAATAACTAAAACAAAGCAAATTTCCCCGCCAAGAGGTCAAGCGCTGTGATTGGTCAATCTTCGCGCCGACTTGAAAATTAAGTAGACTATACAGGGACTGGACTGCTGGATGAAATATAAGGAACATCTAGTAATTTTTTTATATAAGGGTTATGTTGAGACCACTCAAATAAATATTTTCATGAATATTTGAAACGTTTTGAAACTATCACTTGAATGATCCAAAGGTTAAAATATTTATTAATTGTAGAGATAATTTAATCAGTTGCGATGATCTGGGGCAGTATTTTATCATTACTGAAAAAAGCGCAGTGTTGCAAGATAGACCCTCTACTTATGAGTTCTACCTTTTTGGAATATAACTATTTCCATCCCTGTAAAAATAAATACTCTCAAGCATTTGGGAATCAAGGTCTCTTTACTGTAAGCCGATTAGTGAGCTAGATCTCTTCCGAATGTAGCCTACGGATACGCCCTCCTTTTCAACGCTTCGGCACGAGTTATACGAGCACTTCTTCACCAACGGGAAATTATGAGGCCTCGACCTACGCGACCTGGCGAGAGATCTGTAGGGGGTCTAACAGACCCTTGGAAAATATCATCCCGTCTCAAATCTACTGCGCGGGCGGAGGAACGCGCGTAGTGTAGCTGATATGAGAGCCGAGTCGCAGACTATTTCGAATGTCGCTCAATATAACGTCAGTGAAGCGCGAGCAAGCGTAACGGTAGAATAAAACTGACTTCGACTGCCAAGATTTTGTAGCAAAGTGAAATGAAAGGTGCGAAAGTCACTAGGAGAAAAACTCTTTGTAAGTTGAAAGATCTGTTAAACATTGCACAGAATGATTTGGTTTTGTTCATCTCTGTTTCGGTGAACCTTTTTTTTTTTAACTGACTATGACGCGATTTATACTTTACACAATCGTCCATATCTTCCGTCCAGCTAAGGGAAGTCCTAAAAAGTCTAAGAAACCAGGAAATGTCAAAGAAACACGAAAAAAATGTCAAAGTTCCGGCAAGACGAATTCAACTCCGGCTACAGAGAACACCACAGAAACAAAGTATAGAAAGCCGAAAACGTCAAGTGTTGCAGAGGGTTCAACAAGTGCTGAGCAAACAGCAGCAGGTTAGTTCATTGCAAGATAGTGTTGCAGTTTTACTTACTTCTAAAATTCTAGTTCCTGGCATCCATTTGTTTCTTTTTACAACGATATTTGTGTATGAAGGTTTGTATAAGAAAAAACAGATTATTAGTTTTTGGTGAGTCTGAATATTTTATTATCCTGTGCTTTATTTATTCAACTGCCATTGATTTCTTAATTTATTTTTCAAATAGTTTGTCTTACACGTCAACCCTGCATGGGGTGGTCCGACTACAAAAAACCGTTGTAACACAAAACCATTTTAACACAAAACCCTCATACGCTAGAAGGCCAAGGCCACTTTCGCTCAAAAATTCCAAAGTATATGAGGGTGGCTACAAGGGTCACACTGCATTTTCAAAGAAGTAAGAGGGGCGGGGGGGAGATAAGGGCTGCATACTTATTCAGTCTGCAGAATCTCACACCCCGTGAAACAACGGTTTACACATCCGATGGTACCAATTGAAGCCATTACTGTGTACTCCCCAACCCTCCCCCCTCCTAATCAGGATGTGGCCAAAGGAATCGGAGAGGTGGGGAGGAGTTGCATTGGTGATTAACTCGCATCCCGAGTGAAGAGAGAAGAAAGCCCATGAATTATGTTTTAAAGCTTGAAATTTACGGAAATGGTTGAGTGTGCAAACGGCAAAATGAAGGGGAAGTGGAGTATCCGATGCCAAGAATACCAGGTAGGTCATAATCTTTTTTTCCTATACTAACAAATTACCGTATCATTCTTTAGACGAGCGCCGTCTGAGAAAACTGAAGGTTTACCTCAAAAGCGTCTCTTATAACGGTTGCGAGGGGACGAACCTGCCAAACCTGAATGCTCTGTACCAGGACCAGTTATTAGTGGACGAATTCCCGTGCAACGAGCTTTCAAAACCTGTGGAATTCAAATGCAACCCTACGCCATTTGTAATAGCGAGCTGTTTTAATAGAGCTCAAGCGACAGACAGCAGCAAGGAAAGGGGAAACAAAACCAAAGGGAGGGCACCTAGAAATCAATATGTCACTCCACGGAAGAGAAGTACAAAGAAATCTGACTTCCCTCCAACAAACTCGCCACTGAAACATTGTTCACCGTTCATGTTATCGCAAATGAAAACCATAAGCGCTGCTATTTCAAACCCAGTAAACATAAACATACCCTTCAACGGAAAAGGCCAAAAAATAGAAAAAAGAAAACCTCAGAGGGAAGAGAAAAAATCCAAAGAACAAAAGGAATCAACGGCTAAATTGGAGCAAAAAGGAAAAGGAAAGGCTAAAAACTAGGTATCACTGACCTCTTCGTAGTTACTTTGACAAATAAACTACAAAAAATTCAATGTACGAGTTAAGACTGCTTTCAGATGAGAATCATGTTGTGTAATGTTTATCTCTCGGCCAATGAAAGACAAATATTTCCAACGTCGCGGATTGGGAAGGCCGTGCGCCGTGCGCATATGTAAAACTACTTACCCAGCCCGACATGTACCCTTGCGCGTAATAGGTGATAAGCAGTTCAATCTCCGTATTCATTTTGCGTTACAACAAATAATAGCATGAAATATTAACTTGTGTCTTTGCGAATCTTTCGTGTTCGTTTAATTTCTTCCCCAAACTTTTACTCGCACTCAGCTTGCAAACGAGGTTCTCCCGAGGCATGACATGTGCTTTGAGTTAACTGTTTTCGTCTTTGGCCGAAATGATTTCATTTTCTTTGCATTCTAAATCGAGATAATGCCTCCGAAGAAACTACCGAAGTTAGATGATATTCAAAGTCAATGAAAACTTTCAACTTTTTTTAACTGTCTTAACACAGAATCGAAAGCCGAGTTGGCCGAGAATGTGGCAAACATAAAAACAACCAAGATGCGACTAATTTAGTGTTAACAACTGGGTTGAAAACGTAAATTGACCACCATAAAGAATAAAAAAAGCCAACGTTTCGAGCGTTAGCCCTTCGTCAGAGCGATTGGGGGAATTGTGGGTCGTGTGTGGGTTTATAAACAGAAAGTGGAGCTACGCTATTGGTGGGAGTATGGTGACGAGATAACAAGAATAAATTAGTTGAATGAAAAGCGCTCGTTGATACCGTGGAGATTGTTTTCAATGTGAGAGTTTTTCAGGTGCCCGAGTGTTTCACCTCAGTATGCTATTAAAACGGAACCCAAGTGAATCTTTATTTTCCGTGACGTTGTTTTCCATGGAGATGTTCGTAATGTCCCCTCTTTGTTTCGAGTCGAAATCAGAGATGTAAATGAGCATTTTGAGTATTCAAACTAAACCAATCGGAAAACAGTCTAATTTAGTATTATCAACTGAGTTGACAACGTAAATTGGCCACCGTAAAAAGTTTCAAAGCTGAAGTTTCGAGCGTTAGCCCTTCCTCAGATTAGTTCTCTCCGCAGCAGGCGGCAACTGGTTACTGAAAAATATATACACCGTTCACAAAGTTGGGTGACCACCAGAATAAAAATATTGGAATGTGAAAAACGATGATGAGACAAAGTCGAGCGTTTTCACGTCGATCGATTTAAGAGCCGTTTTCTCACACAGAGTTTCCAGTAAAACTATTATCTACCTCAACACTAAATGAGTTATAGGCTTATGCATAGAAAACAAAGGAAACAAAAGAAGTGGGCTCTCTGAGAAAACCTATTTCAGGTTTATGCAAATTTTCCAAAATTCGATAGACAATTCCTAGTTAAAATTTCCCTTTCGTGTGCCTTTCAGTTATGCTGATTTATACGCACAAGATGTGAAGCTCGAGTGAGCAAAAAATTTAGGTTAACCGATTCTTTCGTTATCGAAGCACTTCACTGTGTAGTTGAATCTTAGATTACGTAACGAATCGTTACATACATACATAAGCTTTATTTATCCTCAGATTTCAGTGTAGCTTACGAGCTAGTATCTCCGATCCTAATTACTAATTTTAAAAGTTACAGCAAGAACAAGGCTAAAAAGAGAAAAAAAATTCATAATATAATAATAGAATAATATAATAATCATTAATATAATAATATAATGTAATATTAATGTAATAGTGTATTAGTGTATTATTAATGTAATATTAATTGTTGAGCTAGCTACTTATGTAACCCTGCTGTGAAGTGCGTGACCATTCTCATTAGACCTTCGCTACGTCAAAGCCAGGTTCCATAGCAGAGCGAGTTATTCATTCGATCTGCCGCGTAGTGATAGCTGAAGTTCTTTAAGATGGCCTTTACTGTTAGAATGAAAAGTAATCACTCTCTCTCGATCTCATCTGTTCGGACTATTTAGTTCATACACCATGGTCTCCTTGGTTTTCTGCCATCGATACCAATGAGTTCTCTTTCGTCTATTTCAGTCGAGGATGCACCAAAAACAAAACCTTTTTCAGAAATCCTAGGTCCGCTCCGTCTTCTAGTTTTCGGAACAGCTTGGATGTTTTTCGTGGAAACGAAAGGTCAGCCCCTTGGAAAGCAAAATCCAAGCAGAAAATGTCAAGAAATATGGGAAAGTATTCCGCAACAAACTACCAGGCGTCGAAATTATTAGTTTATCCGATCCTGCCGACGTTGCAAAGTTACTTCGATCGGATCCCAAATATCCTGAGAGAATGGACTTTCCATCTCTAAATTTCTACCGGGAAATAAGGAATGAAATTCCTGGCGTTTTCTTTGTCAATGGTGAAGAATGATGTAAGCTACGAAGCGTCCTGAATGCTTCGACCGAAAGAAGTCGCCAGCTACACTCAGGGTTTCAGTAAAATTATCAGCGATTTTATTGACCGATTACGATTAGTTCGAGAGCCTGGTAGGTCAGACAAAGAAAACGAAGTTAGTGAA